GTGCACTTGTGCGCAGATGAAATAGGATTGACTTCAATAGATGGATGACAGTCTAACCCAATTATTCTATGAAAGTCGAAAGCAATCTCTCCTAAAGGTTGACAACTACGGCCAGTGTGCCAAATCCAGCCCACAACTTATTTTCATGAATAGTTTTACTGTATTCATTTATGTATTTTCTGTGGCTGTTTTCACTACAACAGCAGAGTAGAAAAGCTGCAACAGAGACGTTATGTCCCACAAAGTCTAAAATACTTACTATCTGGCCTTTTACAGAAAAAAGTTGTTGACCCCTGCTCAAGACAAGCAACCCAGGAATCAACAAGACCTGTTCCAGACTCACCTGAGGTGTCGTCTTTTTGTACTGGTCACCTCCATCTATCACATCCCTCATTATTTTTTCCTTGAGAAATTCATACTCTTCTGAACTCAGGTGAATAGACTCTACAGTTTTTCCACAGCCCAAACACTGACCACTGTAATTACAATTAAATGTGTTAAATAATGTGTTAAATAATGTCCTGAAAAAGAACTTTTTCTACAATGAATAATTCTAGGACATGAGGAAATTGGAAGGTAGTTTAAAAAAAGAACATTATAACCTTTGCGATCATCATACACATCTCACTTTTTGTAATCCAGATAATGTAACAAAATAGTGTGCCAGAAAACCCAAAAGAGTAGATGGCTGGCACCCAGACAAAGTTTTTAAAGTCATTCCTAAAACACAACTGGGTCCCAAATCTCTAGGGAAAAACATTTCTGAGGCGTCACACCAGGCTCACAGCACCTACTGAAAGAAACATTTTGAGCACTACAAATTCTCCAAATGCAAAACTGTGACCTTTTTCTTGGCTATCCTAACTAACTTAATTATCCTGTTTCTAAGGTATTCTTAAATTTTTTAAAAATAAGTAACAACAACCTACTAAACCTGAATCGAACAAATTAAAAATAAAACATTGGCTTTTACCTTTGCTGGACTGTGGTGAACTGTCCTTTCCAATGTTCTCCAGGAACACTACAAAAAAGATTGCAAAACCAAATCACCAGAGGGTCAAATCCCTACTGAACAGAAAGATATTCGTTGTATTTAAAAAACCCGTAGGAAAGAGCTCTGAGAAGTTCTGGATACTTCCCTAGAATGGTTCAATTAGAAGAGTGGTTGCTAATACTGGGATGGGGCTAAGTAACTGATGGTACTCTACTCTGGATCTCCTTCCCTTTGCTTCTCTCATCATCTGACCCTCATCTTTAACTTGAAATCTGTCTTCACAGGACCTGCCCAGAAAGCAGCCCAGACCTCTAAATCAAAACTCAACTCTAGGGACTTCCCTGGCAGTCCAGAGGTTAAGACTCTGCCCTCCCAATGCAGGGGGCGCGGGTCCTGATCCCGCATGACGCACCGCCCAGGCAAAAAAAAAAATTTTACTCTAATTTTCTCCATAAAGCTGCCAGAGATTGTTCCTGGCCCAGAGTAATTTCTTCTCTTACACTATCATTTTATACACCACTCTGAGATAACTGTCTACTATTGTATTCCCAATTAGGTCGTGAATGCCATTATAATAGATCTTACATCACGGATCATGCACAGTGCTAAGCCTAAAATTGGAGGCATTCAAAACTACTTATTGGTTTATTTGCTCAGTCAACTTATCCTTTCTTCTTTCCTCTTACAGATAATACCATCCATTCCTATTGATGCTACTGACTTCTCTCCTTTCCCAGTTCTTAATTCAAGATCTCATCATCCCTCATTCAAACCTACAATTGCCTCCAAACAGATCTCCCTGTTTCAAATCTTAATTCCTCTCTAATCTTATTTTCTCACTGTTTTGGCAGTTACTTTTTAAAAAGTACTCCAAGACCAGCACTCTTCATAACATTAAAATCCAAAATCCTTCCCATTCCAAGATTTTCACAACTTAGCTCCTCTGTGGATATTCAATAAATGTGTTAAGAAAGATAATTAAGCATGATTGCTACTTCAAAGCTCTGTAAAGATAATATATAGTAGAAAAGCAAGAGAAAAATAGAGACAAAAGGAATGAATCTGTAGGAAAGAGCCTGAAGCCAATTAGTGGTAAAGAAATAAGAGAACAAAAGACTGAAGCAATAAATCAGCACGCACACAGCCAGTAACATGAATAAAAGCAAAGGGAAAGCAAAGGACAGACTTGGAGAGAGCACTCAAATGATGGTATGATCAAAAACAGGAAGGATAAAGATTTTCTTCTTTAACACATATCAGGTTTGAGCAGGATTCCTCTCTCCCCTCTAACTATTCAAGCTGGTGAAATGCATAGATTAAACAGAATATATACGTGCACATCATACTAGTCACTAGGTTTCAGAAGAACTTCTGAAAATACTAATATGACCCAAAGACAGCTCCAGTTTTCTTGCTATGAACTCCAGCCACAAGTGCTATTTGAAAATATTCACATCATACTAGACACCTCAGAAAACAAATGATCCTTCTAAAAGGAAAAAATACATAAAAACAAGTGTTCTATAATTTCCCTTTTATGTGATGAGTAGAGATTAGCACAACTTATTTATGCTGCTACTTTTTTAAAGGGAAAGAAAACTTTGTCTTAAAGGGGAAACAAACTTACTAAGAGACAGAAGAAAGTATAATCTGACTAGAGTAATTCTCAGCAACTAATAAAAAAAAAGAGGAGGCTAGTTTTAGGTAACGGTATTAAAATAAAAATATACATATAAACAAAAATCAGAATTACCTTTCAAACCATGTTTTTATACTGTGTGCAAATGACTCCCCAGGATACAGCTGATTATTTCTTAGATACAAAAGAATGTCTTGCAGCTTGTTTGAATACTGATCACCTTTCATGTCTTTTCCAAAATCAAAGAAGGCTTTTAATGTTTCCAACATAGGAACAATATCATGACCTAACAACTCCTGATACAAATTCCAAGCTACATTTACATCTTGATGAAAGAGGGCTCCCTGGATACAGTCATTATAGTTCTTTTTTGAAGGAATCATGACTTTTTTGATGTCCTCTAACAGCAGCAAGGCCTCTCTCCATCTGTCTGTATGGATTAATCCCCGGATGAGAAGAGTGTACGCTCCAGATTCTAAACGCTTGTATCTGGCTTTCATGATTTCATAGACATCAATAATTTCTGACGTCTGCTTATGAAAAACGCAGAGATACAAATACTTGACCAGCAAATCATAGCCTACAATACCATTGTTTTTTGCAGCTACCCAGGCCAGCACAGATTTGGCCACATCGACAGAGCTATGGCATTTAATCATCTGTGAAATGATCCAATTTTCAAAGTTAGCCTTTTCTTTGAAATCTTCCTTCAGTTTATCCCACTCCTCTGAATTCAAAGGTTTTGTCGGGAGTTGAAAAATGTTCTTCACAGGTGGCAAGACGTGCTCTTTACTCGGAGGATTCATCTGTGATCTCTTCTTAGCCGCTCCAGCTGCAAACATGTGAGGAGAATCAGCAGAAACTTGCTTACTACTGCCCTCATCTTTTTTCCTGACATATCTGGCTTTGGCAACCAGCAGATTCATTGCTTTGGTATTTTGTGGAGACACCGTTTTAAGAGAAAACCACTTCTCTTGGTTCTTGATGCCATAACAGTCTTTGAGAAAGAGAGAGAGAGAAGAGTGACCTGGGCCTAGCCCAAGGTATGGGTTGCTCTTCCAAAGTTTAGGAAAGCTTCGAATACCAGTGAAATAGAAAGTCATTATGCAGTTAAATCAGCACCAGATTGTGAGAGAGATGTTCAAAAAGCCCCAACTTCTACAGCATAATTAAGGGATTTGGGCCAGGTAGGGGGCGGAGATCGAAGCGCAACTTTCTAAAAGATGATTTTCAGCTTCTCACAGACAAATCAAATGCTTTTGGGGCTAGCAGCAACGAAGCTTAGTTGAGTTCTCTTCATTAAACAAGGATACGGGGACATCCAACCTTGGTCGCAAGTTCCAGGACGAGGGGACCGAGAAAGAATCCTCTGGTGCCTGTTATATTCCAGTCCGCGAACCTGAGGAAAATGCACAAAGAAGACCAGCCAGTTGACTCACGTGGATCACAACTTTCCTTGAAAAGGGGCCGGATCCCACGGGAGCCAGGCTGCAGAAAGGGCGAAAAGTCGTAAGTCCCCTACCCCAGACCCATCGGCAGCCAGGACAGAGGCGAAAGCCCGAGTCTAGGGGCCGTGGCCGCCAAACTCGTCAAATAAGGAAATGGGAGTGGGGAAGGGGCAGACAGCTGAGCCGAGCCTGCGATATTAGTAAGGAAGGGAGGTCCACGAGGGCACCACCTACTGTGTACGGATCTATCACAAACGAAGTTCACTTGATTCAACCACTCACCGCAGCACTCACGTACCATACAACCATAAACGCGGCGGAAACTACCCCGCCCACAATGCACCGCGACGGCGCGGCCGCGGAGGCCTGACTGAGCCAGAAGCAGGCCTTCCGCCCGGCCTAGCGGCAAGAAAAAGGTGACTCTGAATCTTTTACTGGCAAGAGACGGCACAAGCGGCTGCTGAAGGCGCCTACTACATTCAGGGAGACTTTAGGACTTCCAGATATCCGCCGTGAACAATGAAAAGAAACAAATTAGAAAGCTCTTCCCTCGAACCGGAAGAGCCAAAGGACTTCCGGGATCACGTGGCGCACAAGTGCCAAAGGGCCAAGATGAAATAAAATTTGATGAAAGATGAAATAAGATGAAAACAAATTTCAAGATGAAAATAAATTTACCTGTACTTGTGCTTTCTCCTCCCCTTCACTCCTGCGCCTTTAAAATACGGCGTGCTGAAGCTGGAAAGCTGCCTTAAGGAGGCTCCCTCTCCGTTTCTTTCACGTCTGCTCTCCCTGCTGTTAGTGTGATCGCCGTATTCTCCGCAGTGGTTGCGGTGATCGATTTGGCCGGGTTAGCCGACTTCCGCCCGCGTCCAAGATGGCGATTAAGCGGCCTTCATAACCTTTAGGGGGCTGGGCAGTGTTGACGCCACAGCTGGCAGGGGGTGGAGCGGTTAGTAAACAGCAAATGCGGGAACTGCTGGGCCGGAGTCAGCCATGGACTGGAAAGAAATTCTTCGCCGGCGGATAGCGACGCCCAACACCGGTCCAAACAGTGAGTTTGGGAGGGGCCGCCTGCAGACAGAGCCAGGCCCTAAACTCCGGGAGGTGGGGTGGGGAGGATGGATGGGGAGGAGCAGCACCTGGGAGCCGTGCCTTTCGCTTCGGTAAAACCTCTCCTGACAAAGGAGGCTGACCGGGATGTGGTTTAGGGATCCAGAGAGTTTTGTTTTTTTTGTTTTTTGGGGTTTTTTTTTGCGGTACGCGGGCTTCTCACCGTCGCGGCCTCTCCCGTTGCGGAGCACAGGCTCCGGACGCGCAGGCTCAGCGGCCATGGCTCACGAGTCTAGCCGCTCCGCGGCATGTGGGATCTTCCCGGACCGGGGCACGAACCTGTGTCCCCTGCATCGGCAGGCGGACTGTCAACCATTGCGCCACCAGGGAAGCCCTCCAGAGAGTTTTGACCCACACTTCCCTGAGAAGGGATTTGCGGGAATGAAAAGCTACCTTAACCACGCATTTGCATGGTCCTGACCTAGACTTGTGAGGGATAATTGAGAGTCCTGGCGCCATCAACCCTTTGATCCTACCAGAACCTATAATCCATTACCCCTACCGCCTTTTTATCGTCACACTTTTCACTTCCCTCCTTATCCATTTTAGATTTAATAATCCATTTTTCCTTATCTCTTTCCCTCTGCGTCACGTTTGTTAATCAACCTGGTTAAAACTATCTTTACTATTTCACAACTGCATCCAGGACAGCTGAAAGTGGTTAGAGAAAAACGGAACCTTGGTGAATTTCCTCACTTTTAATTCATGTCCACTAACCTAAAGTAGGTGTTTCAGTCATTCATTTACACTTCTTCCGCGTTTCCCTAGACATTCAGTCTCCTACACTCTAAGGCAGTTCCTTCTCATCTCCCAAACCTCTAATCCTCAGTATGTCCTATCTACTCCTTACCTTTAGCTGATGAACTAGTATATATATTTGAGAAAGTAGAAGCAAAGAGGAATCTCACCTGTTCCCATTTACCATTTCTGTCAGTGCCCCCCCACTCCCCACCCACTATAGGCAACCGTGCACTCTGCCTTCACTGTTAAAATGGTGAACTGGCCAACAGTCCCTGTACTCCAACGCTGGATTGCGTTTCTTTCTTTTATTCACTGACTTCACTCTGGCCTTATCCTCTCCTTTATACACCATCAAATTTTCTTTCTCTACTGGTTCATTTTCATCAGCTCTGACAAACATGCTGTAATATCCCCCATCATTTAAAAAAAATCATTTGATCTCACAACCCCCTCCAGCTTTTGCTACATTTCTCCACACCCCTTATAGGAAAACTTCTAGGAAAATTTACCTGTACTTGTGCTTTCTCCTCCCCTTCACTCCTAAACCCACTCCATCGCATGTCTGTTATCTGGATAACCTAGGCTATAGCAGTAAACAGAAATCCTTGTCCCTGTAGAACTTACACTTTAGCGTTGGCAGAGATGATAAAATAGTAAGTAAATTGTATAGGTTTTACTTCTGTTGAAGGCTATTTCTTTCATCAGTGTGCTAGATCCCATTTTTGCCTCCTCAAGGATGTACTCCTACAGTCATCCTCTGTCTCCTGCATCATGAGATTTTCTCTCATTCACTCCCATCAGCATATGAACATGGTGGTATTTCTCCCAGCTTAGAGAAACTTTCTTAACTTCCACCTGTAGCCTATGCCTCGTTATAGCAACACTTGTTAAAAGAGTTGTTGGTTGAATCTGTCGTTGTCTCTGATTCCTGCTTGTCATGATCGTCAGTGATCTTCACATTGTTCCAGTGCTCAGTTGTCCTTATTTTACTTGACCAGCCAGCAGCCCCTGCCAGGAACATAGTAGGTCACTCACTCCTCCTACACATACTTTCTTCTTTTGGTTTCTGGGAGACACACTCTCTTAGTTTTCCTACTACCTCACCAGTCATCCCTTCTCAGTCTTTGCTTTTTCTTCCTCTTCTTCCCAAGAACTTAATATTTGAGGGCCCAAGGCTGAGGCCTTGGTCAGTGTCTATTCTCTGTCTACACTCACCTTCTTACAATTTTAAATAATGTCTATTTGCTAATGTCCCCCAAATGTATACCTCTAGCCTGGACCTCATCCCAAATTCCAGGTTCATATATCTATCAATAATTGTCTACCTGACATGGCCACTTGGATCTAACATCTTAATCTTGTCTGAAATTGAACTCCCACTCTCCTTCCTAACTTGCTTGCTCGTAGTTTTCCCCATCTTAGTTGCCGACAATAGCATCTACTCAGGTCAAAACCTTTGGAGACATCTTTGACTGCTCTCTTTCTCCAAAACCCACATCCAGTGTGTCAGCAAACCCTGGGACCAAAAAGAAAATATATCCAGAATAAATTTACTCCTAGCCACCTCCATTGCAGCCACCCTGGCCCACGCCACCGCCATCTGTCACCTGGATTACTGCATTAGCCTCTTAATTCCTTCTGGTGGCTCTTTCCCTCATCAGAATGAAAGCCAAGGTCTTTCCAAAGGCCTAGTGGCCTGCCCCCCCATTATCTGGTGTCCCTCATCTCCTGCTATTCCCTCTGGCTCATTCTGCTGCAACTGTGCTGGCTGCCTCCCTCTTCCCTGCACACACCAGGGACACTCCCACTTTCGTGCGTTGGCACTGGCTGTTCCTTCTTCCTGGAATGCAGTTCCCCCTGGATATCTGGATAGGCAGCTTCCTCACCTTCTTTTTTTTTTTTTTTTTTTTGGTCAGTTTTATCTCAGTGAGAGAGTCAGTATCCCTGACACTGTTGAAAGCTGCATGTGTGTATGCACTCATCCACTCACACATATACTTGTGTATCCCTAGAATAGTTGAATGATGTAATTAAAGTGACTCTTGGGATTTGGGCTCAGGTGATTGGATGATAGTGGTACCACTTACTGAGATGGAAATATGGAATTAGAAGAAGAGTAGTAAGGTGAGGGATAGGGAAAGTTATTCTAGGTATGTTGGAGCATGAGGATGAAAATATTTTGTTCTGAATGCGTGAGTTTAGTGCAATGTCTGCGTTAGTGACATAGGTTTGGGGCTTAGAGGTTAAACTATGAAAGTTGAAATGATAGAGGAAGAAGATTAAGAAAAAAGAAGAGGGACTTCCCTGGTCGCGCAGTGGTTAAGAATCTGCCTGCCAATGCAGGGGACACGGGTTCGAGCCCTGGTCCGGGAAGATCCTACATGCCGCGGAGCAACTAAGGCTATGCTCCACAGCTACAGAGCCTGTGCTCTAGAGCCCGCGAGCCACAGCCACTGAGCCCACGTGCCACAACTACTGAAGCCCGCGCACCTAGAGCCCATGCTCTGCAACAAGAGAAGCCACCACAATGAGAAGCCCGCGCACCACAACGAAGAGTAGCCCCTGCTCGCCACAACTAGAGAAAGCCCACGTGCAGCAACAAAGACCCAACACGGCCAAAAATAAATAAATTTATTTAAATAATAATAATAAATAAAATAAAAGTGGATATATGTATATATATAACTGATTCACATTGCTATACAGCAGAAACTAACACAACATTGTAAATCAACTGTACTCCAATAAAAATTGGAATAAATAAAGACAGACAATAAGTAGATCAGTTAAATAAAAAAAGAAAAAAGAAATAGCCATAAAATAGGAGAATCAACAGAGTGTGGTCTCATAGAAGCTACAAAAAGTTTAGAATCATGGACAGTATCAAATTTAACAGAGAAATCAAGGACAGGTGTGTCCATTAAACTAAACAATTAGGTCACATGTTGCCCTGGCAGTTTCCGTGGAGTGGCAGGATTGCATAAAGAGATAGTGAGAGGTAAGAAAGTAGAGATCACCAACACAGGCCTTTCATTTGAGAAAGTGGATGAGGAAGAAGGAATTATGTGTGGCAACAGGTAGAAAGGAAGGAGTTTTGCAGAGGAGATGGGACAATGAGGGGTTAGCCTTGGGTGAGAGAAGAGCTACGTTTTCCCCTGAAACTGGCAGGAAGAAAGTAAGATGCAGATTTGATACCTTCCTGTCCTCCCACTCCACTTAGATGTTTGTGGGTATCCATGCCCAGTAGACTCAGTTGTTGGTGAACTGGGTGGGATTCTCATCTGTTGAGGGTGAACACAGGGGACTTGAGGAATGTAGTGAAAGTCTGGAGCAGTCAGTCACCAAGAGGACATCAGGCGCAAATAAAATATGTATTGGTGGTTTGGGGAGGCTGAGTTATTAGTAACCATGAAATAAATTTGTGGGACCAAATATTTGCAAAATTTGGCAGTTTTCTCCAGCACCATTGAGCATTAGTAAACAGATTATAAAATTGGTCCAAGGTTAAAAATTAACAAGGCAGATATGGCAGAAATGCAGGCAGGAGTTTCGGGGAACAACTACACACACATGTTGAGAAGGAAGTGAGACCAAGAAGAGGAAAAACTTTTGAGAAAACAGATCACAGAATTGAAGATCTCAATGAGGCTGAAGTGCAGTGAGGTTTTGGTAACCATAAGCTTGTTTTCTATGTCTGAGTCTCTTTCTGTTTTGTAAATAAGTTCATTTGTATCTTTTTTTTCATATTCCGCATATAAGCGATATCATATGATATTTGTCTGACTTCACTTAGTTTGATAATCTCTAGGTCCATCCATATTGCTGCAAATGGCATTATTTCATTCTTATGATGGATTAATATTCCATTGTATATATATATATACACCACATCTTCTTTATCAATTCATCTGTCGATGGACGTCTAGGTTGCTTCCATGTCTTGGCTATTGTTAATAGTGCTCCAGTAGTGAACATTGGGGTGCATGTATCTTTTCAAATTATAGTTTTCTCCATATATATGCCCAGGAGTGAGATTATAGGATCATCTGGTAACTATTTTTAGTTTTTTAAGGAACCTCAATACTGTTCTCCATAGTGGCTGTATCAATTTAAATTCCCACCAACAGTGAAAGAGGGTTCCCTTTTCTCCACACCCTCTCCAGCATTTATTATTTGTAGCCTTCTTGATGATGGCTATTCTGACTGGAGTGAGGTGATACATCATTTTAGTTTTGATTTGCATTTCTCTAATAATTAGCAATATTGAGCATCTTTTCATGTGCCTGTTGGCCATCTGGATGTCTTCTTTGGAGAAATGTCTATTTAGATCTTCTGCCCATTTTTTGATTGGAATGTTTGGTTTTGTTGGGTTTTTGGTTTTTTTTTTTTTTGGTATTGAGTTGTATGAGCTGTTTGTATATTTTGGAAATTAATCCCTTGTTGGTCTCATTGTTTGCAAATATTTTCTCCCGTTGTGTAGGTTGTCTTTTCGTTTTGTTTATGGTTTCCTTTGCTGTGCAAAAGCTTTTAAGTTTAATTAGATCCCTTTTGTTTTTATTTCCAATACTCTAGGAGATGAATCCAAAAAGATATTGCTGCGATTTATGTCAGAGTGGTCTATGTTTTCTTTTAGCAGTTTTATAGTCTGTGGTCTTACATTTAGGTCTTTAATCCATTTTGAGTTTATTTTTGAATGTGGTGTTAGAGAATGTTCTAATTTCATTCTTTTACATGTAGCTGTCCAGGTTTCCCAGCACCACTCATGGAAGAGACTGTCTTTTCTCCATTGTATATTCTTGCTTCCTTTGTCGTAGATTTATTGACCCTAGGTGCATGGGTTTATTTCTGGGCTTTCTATCCTGTTCCATTGATCTGTATGTCTGTTTTTGTGCCAGTGCAGTGAGGTTTTGAATAACAACCAGAAGGAGAGAAAATTTTTGAGAGTATATTAGAGTTTAAGATTTCAGAACAGGAACAGGTAAGATCTGTGGTCTTTCTGAGTGAACAGAGTGCAGTAGAGGTGGAAGCCTTCAGAGTTGAGGGGGCACCTTCACCCACCTAAATGTTTATTCTTCCATAATGATTGCAGGTGAAGAAAGCTGTGCACCAGTCTCATGGTTCATGGTGGAGGAATGGCTAAATGAGATGGCCATCTGACAGCAGCAAGCAGGTTGGGTAATAGCACCCTGAGGTGTGAACTTCAGATAGGTAGAGGAATAGTGACTATGACACTGAAACTCCCATGAGGTCAAGGGCTGTGCCTACTTTCTCGCTGCTCTAGCCCCAATGTCTAGTGCAGTGCTCTGTTTGGAGTAGGTGCTCAGTGAGAACTTTTGATTGAATGAATTAGAACATGTCAGGTCTATAAGAGAGGCAATGACTTGAGAAAGAGACAAGTATAGTGATAAAAATAAGCGGAGGGAGCATCTGAGAACCGGTTGAAGATGTAGAGGAGGCTGTTTCCATTGAAGATAGTGATTCTTGGTATTTCAAGAAAGTTAATATAGATGCTTAGTGTCTAAGTACAATTGTGAAGGCCTTTTTTGTACTGTAATTAGACCATAGTGTATAGATGTCTTGAAAAAAATATTGTTTGATTTTAAAAGTGCTTTCCCCTCCTTAACGTGTTTTGTTACCAGAAAAAAAAAGTGAACAAGAATTAAAAGATGAAGAAATGGATTTATTTACCAAGTATTACTCAGAATGGAAAGGAGGTAGAAAAAACACAAATGAATTCTATAAGACCATTCCCCGGTTTTATTATAGGGTAAGTGGTATCTAAGCAAATGTCTTGCAGAGTTTGTAAATGAAATGTAATTTTTCAAATGGGATTAAAAATCTTATATTTTATAAATAAACAAATTGATTATATTTTAAATTTTGTACATTTATTGTTTCATTCTAGTTGACCTTATTATTTTTGACCTGATTAAATCTTGGTTTTTCATATAAGTGGATATAAAAACACAAAGTTGTTATTTGCCACTTTTTTTGAACTGTAGGCTTTTTCCTTCCTCCTAATTTTTATTATGGATGTTAGTGGTAGGTATTCTTTTGGATTATGTTGCCAGGCTTTCTATAAGACTTAGATTTACTTGGCTGATCACAATTTTTAACTTTGTCTTTTACTCATAAGGTGTAAAATGTTTTGCTCAAGGCTAAACTGAAAAATAGATTGAGAGTGGAAAACAAATTTTAAGAGTTATACTTAATTATATGTTTCCTTGTGCCAAAATGGTAAAGAAGGCTTTGAGGAGGGTTATAGATAAAACAGTAAGACTTTAAGAAAGATATTTACAGCTGAAATTGAAGGCTTCTGAAAAGAATAAGTCCTATTTAGTATTATGGGAAATGTAACTACTATAGAAAAGTTAACTTTGGAATTTTAGCTGAATATCTCTTAAACCTGTTACCTCCTAAACTCAATTAATTACAACATTATTTGCAAAGAAAGTAAATATTTTGTTTTGCTTGCATCAAGGAGTGAAGTAGATTATCCAGATAATTTTAACTTATTTCTTCAAGTACAAACTTTTTTGTACTTGTGTACATGTGAACCATTTTACTGGAAACTTTTTTGTAATACTATATGTCTCCCAGACTTTTAAGAATTATATGACTAATCCACGTTTGTCATGGAAAAGAGAGAAAACAGGTAAAGTTGATATTTTCCCGTAATAACATTGCCCAGAGATGTAAATAAACATTTTTACATGAATCCTTCTACATATTTCTATATGTGTGTGTGTGTGTGTGTGTGTGTGTTTAACAAAAATGGGGTCACATCATACATACTGCTGTTGCTTTTTTGCATTTCACACTTTCTTAATCAGAGGCAGTTAGACAACTGAGAATTTTTTATAGTCTGGGGGAGTGGGAAGAGGACTGCCATTTATTGAGTGTCTACGTACTTCAGAGCATTTTATATTCATTATTTCATGTAATCAGGATTGTGAAAGCATTATCTTACTAACCCAGGAACAGCCCTCAGATGCTGACATTACTCCATTCCCAGGACTCAACTTTCCTGTATTTCTAGTACCAGCCATCCCCTTGTGTTTTCTGAGGGAATCCCCTTTTCCCCCATTTCCATCTCTTCTCTGACCTCTTCCAGATCCCAAATGGTTTCTGGTCTGCAGATGTGGATTTGTGGGATGTTCTTTCCCTTGTTTCTTCTTCCTCTACTTCCACTCCACTGCTTTAGAGAAACCACCTGTCATCTTTGGTCACCACTTCTCTCCTTGGCTGGTTAGCTGGTTGACTAGCCACTGGAGCACAATCCCAGTCTCAGCCCCAGCCTCACCTCCTAATGCGTATTCCTTCTCCATCCCTTTTGATGGGAGGGATGGCATCTTAGTTCTTAGAAATAAGAAGTGAAAACCATAGCCCCCAATTTGGACTGTGGGTTACTTAGCTACATTTAATGGGGCAGAGTTACAGAAAAGTAAGAAGAAATCCTCAAAACAAATTGTTTGAAGTTGTTAGAATGAGTCATTTTAAAGCCCTGCTTAGGGAAATCACCACAGGAGGACGAACCTCTGCTTTGGAGGCCAACTAGTAGACATCGGCTTAATTATCTCTAGGAAGTAAGGTGACCCAGTCTCAAAAAGCATACTTGGCTAAAACTGTCGCTCTTCAGCCAATCCTAATTTAGTTCTTTATTTGTCTAAGGTTACAATGGGAACAGTGCTCTACAAATATAAAATGAAACTTGAGCTACATTGAGAAAATAGAAAAAGTGGTGGTCATAAAGTAAAATAAGAGCATGACATTCGGATGCATTTAGTTTGGGGATGGTTATCCTGCGTTGAACATCTGTCATAGTACTTTACTCCTAGCAGTCACTAGGAAATAGCATTAAAGTCTGCTTAATTGGGAGAGGTACCTAACTACCCAGTGATGGAAATGAGATGGAGAAGAGAAAATACACTAAATCCCTGATGTCAGAAGACCCGGATTCAAATTTTGTTACTTTAGTTGCACAACTTTGAGCAAGTCATTAACATTAGGTGTGAAATTGAGGGGACAGAGGAGTACAGGGAACCAAACCAAACAACTCATAAGAAATTAAGACAGACTTGGACTCTGAAGATTTAAATCTTTAGTCTGGGACTGGCTAACTGCATATGTATTCTTGATAAAGTCATCCATCTCTTGATTTCCTCACCTCTAAATTGAGTATGATGAAATGCATCTCACAGGGCTAGTAGGATTAAATTAGAATGAGTGTATTGATGCCTGATATATTATGGGCACATACTAAATGTTGTGTTTAATTTTTAAGTAAACCTGTATGGATCTAAATAAAGAAACTTGAGCTAGATGGTTAGCCTTTTCCAGGCAGAACTGGCTTCACTGATCACTGAATTCTCTGTGGATCTCTTTTTATTAAATGAACTTTTTAAATAAATGATGACCTGAAATTAAGCAAGATTGAGATACAAAAAGTAATTTTGAGACAGTAGTATACATAGTTTTTTATGAGGCCAAATACATTTTACATAACCCAATAGTCTAGAATTTAAGTGTAGAAATTAACTCTACAGTGTATTTTTAGCTGCCAGCTGAAGATGAGGTCTTACTACAGAAATTAAGAGAAGAATCCAGAGCTGTCTTTCTGCAAAGGAAAAGCAGGGAACTGTTAGATAATGAAGAATTACAGGTAAGAATGGAATAAAAGGTTGCTTTGGAGGTTCACCATTTCTTATTTGTACTACATGTGTTATGTGGGATCTCGGGGTGCCTAAATGGAGCCAGTAGTGCAGTGACTGAAAGCACAGGCTCTGTAGCGATGGTTCCCACCAGAATCAGCTGCAAAGCTTGTGTGTCCCAAGGATAGTTTTGTATTGTTTTTTAAAGTCCATAGGTGATTTTTTTTTTTTTTGCGGTACGCGGGCCTCTCACTGTCGTGGCCTCTCCCGTTGCGGAGCACAGGCTCCGGACGCGCAGGCTCAGCAGCCATGGCTCACGGGCCCAGCCGCTCCGCGGCATGTGGGATCTTCCTGGACTGGGGCACGAACCCGTGTCCCCTGCATTGGCAGGCAGACTCTCAACCACTGCGCCACCAGGGAAGCCCTCCATAGGTGATTTTAATGTGTGGCCAAAGTTGAGAACCACTACTGTAGGGAGTAATATTAAGGAGACTATCATCTCCTATTATCCTTTTGATTACTAATAACATGATAAAAAATAGCTAGCATTGGACTTCCCTGGTGATCCAGTAGTTAAGACTCCACGCTTCCAATGTAGAGGGTGTGGGTTCGATCCCTGGGCAGGGAAGTTCCGCATGCCATGTGACGTGGCAAAAAAAAAAAAAAAATAGCTAGCATTTATTGAGTGTTTACTAAGTTCTAAAATTTTCATATACTGTTCCTCTTTAATCTGTGTAACTGTATGATGTAGACACTGTTATCCTTACTTTACAGATCAGAATTGAAACAGAAACTTTAAGTCTACTGTCCAAGATCACAGAGCAGGGCTGGGATTTAAACCCTTGCATTTTGACCCTACAGTAGTCTATCACTAATGGAAATAACACATTTAACTACGTTTTTAAATTTTGTGCAGTTGATTATAACATCTTAATTTCTGCAATTCTCCTAAGAACTTATGGTTTTTGCTGGACAAGCACCAGACACCACCCATGATTGGAGAGGAAGCAATGATTAATTATGAAAATTTTTTAAAGGTTGGTGAAAAAGCTGGACCAAAGTGCAAGTAAGAATAATATGATTAACAAAGGAGTATGCTATGTTAAGCATTTTAAATGCCTCAAGTAAATGTTAATGAAAATTTAAGTCAATAATATGATAATTTGAGTCAGCTTTTCATTAAACTAATAAAGTTTAATAAAATTATTTACAGTCAAGAAAATTACATTGGTATAAAGTTATTAAAAGAAATAATATAGCTTATTTACAGCATTATAGGTCTTCATTCTTAAGACAATAGAATTAAAGATGTATGGCTTAACATTTTCAGTTTTGAACTATAGTTCTCACTTTGATTTTTTTCCCACCACTTTGATTTTTAATTGTTTGAATTTATGCTGTTGTCTGCTAAATCATACAGAAGTCATTTTTATATTATATTGGCAGATGATTTAATCTTTATTTCCTTTCCTTAGGCAATTTTTCGCAGCAAAAGTCTTTGCTAAACTCCTTCATACAGATTCTTATGGAAGAATTTCCATCATGCAGTTCTTTAATTATGTCATGAGAAAAGGTGATTTCATTTTCATTGTACTTGAACTCCTTCTATCTGGGAATCAAGTAGGTTTCCAGTCAGTGCTTTTATAGTATCCCTTCCATGTCAAACAACTCTTAGTAAATTTGAATAACAGAATTCTTGTCTTTTGACCAAGATTTGTTTTCCTATTATTATGATTCTCTCCTGGAACTTACTAGAGCTGAAAGTTTCTACCATACATTTGGGTTCATTATTATAAAAAACAAACAAAACAAAAGCCTCATGTATCTTGAAGATACTAGCTAACTAGATATATCAAAAGCTGAGGGGGCTTCCCTGGTGGTGCAGTGGTTGAGAATCTGCCTGCCAATGCAGGGGACACGGGTTCGAGCCCTGGTCTGGGAAGATCCCACATGCCGCGGAGCACCTGGGCCCGTGAACCACAATTACTGATCCTGCGTGTCGAGCCTGTGCTCCGCAACAAGAGAGGCCACGATAGTGAGAGGCCCGCGCACCGCGATGAAGAGGGGCCCCCACTTGCCACAACTAGAGAAAGCCCTCGCACAGAAACGAAGACCCAACACAGCCATAAATAAATAAATAAAGCAAAACTGTCAACGAGTAAAAATAAACACTAAAAAAAAAAAAAAAAGCTGAACCAAGAGTTTTAATGGATGGTTATTTGAAATACTTTAATTCACTGGTAATTTTATTTCGCCAATATATTACAGGTTGAGTTGCCTGAGAGGATAGTTTCAAACTCACAACTGTAGCATCATCTCAAGGAGTATTTATTAAACAAGTTGGAATTGTTATGATTCCTATAAGTTCCATAATGACCTGTCAAGTCCTGTGTGTACCAGCTTTAATATTTGGTTGTGGTAATTAACCTCAGTAGAATAAAAGCTTCTTCATTAAAGGCATAATATCAGAACTCCTGTTTTGGTGGAACACCAGTATTCTCAAGGGCATCAACTTTACTGTCACTTTAGGCATGGTAGAATTGTTGATATCTGCAGTTAATTCTATGGTATATTTATTTTGTTTCAAACAATTTTTGGATTAATGAGATAAGTAATACATGTGAGAAAAATATGTTTATAGAGTCATTAAATTAGCTTGTCTCTCTAATCTATCTCCTTTTATGCATATACATATATACACTAAAGGATAAATCTTAATAATTATATTTCATTTTCTTGTTTATTGTCAGTTTGGCTTCATCAAACAAGAATAGGCCTCAGTTTATATGATGTTGCTGGACAAGGGTATCTCCGGGAATCTGTAAGTATTAACCTACTTTAATAAATGCTAGACACCAAAATGCTAAACAGTAGTTATCACTGGGTGTTGAGATTACAGATAATTCTTATTTTGTTTTTGTTTCTGTGCTTCGTTTGTTTTTACAAATAACGTGTTACTAAAGAACTTTTTAAGTGTATATTGGTCACAAAAATTCCTTTCTAAATTCTTTTTCTCCAACCTTTAAAGAAAAAAAAGCCTTTTAAAGGAGAAGAAAAGAATGTAATGTTTTAACTGGATTAAAAATCATTGAAGAAACAGTGAAAAACTTTTGGTTATTCATGAGTGTTATCAGTGTATGACTGTTTTAAAATGTAAGGGCCAGTAGTTTTTCCTTTTTTAGGAAATATAAGAAAAATAATGTGACTATAGTCCCACCTGCAGGTTTGTGTTGTAAGGTCAGTTACCAAGAGGCTATTTATTTCCCATTAGGCACTAATTTGGTTATCAACAGGTTATCAACAGAGAATTATAGCCTCATGATCCAAATCACTATTCTTGTAAGTGTGGGTATCTCAATTATATGGGGACTTCCCTGGTGGTCCAGTGGTTAAGACTCCGAGCTTCCAAGGCAGGGGGCCCAGGTTCGATCCCTGGTCAGGGAACTAAGATCCCACATGCTGCGCAGCATGGCAAGCAAGCAAGCAAATAAATAAATAAGTAAATCAATCAATCAATCTATATCTTCTTTTCAGCTCAGGCTTTTTTTCCCAAATATATACAAAGGGGTAAGGGAGTTATGCATAAATATGAACCAGGTTAATTAATCACTTAAATAAATATTCAGATATAAAATTTAAAGAGATGTAAATTCCCTGTTATAGTTTATGTTTCCTGTTATAATTTGTTGCACTCTGTTTTATCCAGATTTCTATAGATAGAATCTGTTAGCTCATACTGGATATTTACACTTAAAAACCTTTCTAGGGCCACAGTATAATTCTTGTTCTTTAAGGTTCAGATCAGCTTGACAGTAAAAGGTTCTTGCAAGATGTATTAAACACTAGTTGATACTTACTCAGGTCAGATATTGGAGTACTTCTATAGCTCTGAGAATTCTTGTCAGCCATTAGTTGGTTTACAAAACAAACTTTTCTTGCCTCTTCCCATGAATGGAAACAAAAATTGAAAGAAGAATGGGAGGAAGAGAGAGAAAAGCAACAGTATATCTCTGTAGTTGTGTTTAAAAGGGAGTAATGTTCCCTTCTCTCAATGAAAGAAAACATTTCTCTCGAAGAAAAGAAATAACTCTCCTAACCTTGGCACTTTGCCTTTTGAAACCAGATTTTGTGTCTCCCTTATTTAAAAGACAGTAATTTCCAGAGCCAACATCTGTAATTTGAGTAGTATAGGCAAACTCTCATTCATTTACTAAATCTTATTAAATAAGCAATTACCAAACACTTATTTGTGCCAGGTACATTGCTAAGCCTTACTCTTATGGTGCTTTTTTCCTAGCAGAGTGGGGAGGCAGACACTAAATTATCAGCAACATGATTTCAAAGAGTGACAAGTTCTAAGGAGAAAATAGGGTACTAGTGTATGACTGGGGTTGGGGAACTATTTTAGATAAGATGGAAGAGGTGCCTCTTTGAGATAGTGATTGAGTTTTAGCCATGAAGGATGAGAAAGAAGCCAGCCTTATGAAAATGTAATACAGAGGGAACAGCAAGTTCAGTGTCCCCAAGGCACAGTTAAACCTGACCTGTTCTAGGAGCAGAAGGAAGCCAGTGTGGCTGGAGCATATGAGCGAGGGTTAGAGTGACAGGAGGTGAAGTTGGAGAAGTAGGCAGGGCCACATATTGGGTTGTTAGACCATGATAAAGAGTTTGGATTTTATATTGAGACTAATGGGAAGCCATCAGAATTTTTTTTTTTTTTTTTTTTTTTTTTTGCGGTACGCGGGCCTCTCACTATTGTGGCCTCTCCCGTTGTGGAGCACAGGCTCCGGACGCGCAGGCTCAGCGGCCACGGCTCACAGGCCCAGCCGCTCCACGGCATGTGGGATCTTCCCGGACCGGGGCACGAACCCGTGTCCCCTGCATTAGCAGGCAGACTCTCAACCACTACGCCACGAGGGAAGCCCAGCCATCAGAATTTTTAAGCTGAATCTGTCAGGATATGGTTTACATTTTATTTTATTTATTTATTTTTTGGCCATGTGGCTTGTGGGATCTCAGTTCCCCAGCCAGGGATTGAACCCTGGCCACGGCAGTGAAGTTCCGGGCTCCTAACCACTAGACCACCAGTGAACTCCCTGGTTTACATTTTAAAAAATTACTGGATGTGTGGAGAATGAATTGTAAAGAGCCTAGAGTCAAAGAAGAAATAATTAGGAAATTACTCTGGTTGTCCAGGTGAGAGATGATAGTGGCCCAAACCAGGGTGATGTCTGTAGAAGCCAGTAATAGATTAATTCAGTATATATTTTGGACACACACACCCCAACAATGACAAAAATTTGCTGCTGGATTAGATTTTGGGGGTAAGGGGTGGGGGCCTTGGTGAAGAAAAGGTAGGAACCAAGTTTAACTTTTTTACTTTGAATAAATGGTGGAATAGGGGACTATGGGTGAGGACCAGGGTTGGGGATATTAAGAGTCCAATTTTGGACACACCATGTTTGAGATGCCATCTGTTCTACAACTAAATTATAAAGTGTTTCAAATGAACTAGAAACATTATACTTTACAATGGATAAAACAAAAGTAATGAAATTATTAAAATAAATATAAGAAACCATGAGAGGCTTTTAAATATATAATCTTGGAATAGGGAAAGCCTTTCCAAGTATGACAAAGCTCAGAAGTCTAAACAATAAGTTCAGCTAAATTTTTAAAAATCTGAGAGCAAAGACCATCATAAACAAAGTTAAAAGAAAACAACAAGAAAAATATCTGAAACTCAGTCACAAATGAATTTATTTCATCATTCATAAAGTTTTAATACTGAATAATTTTTAGGACTGAAATTATATTCCAGTATCTCATGAAGAAACAAGATCAGACATTTAACCCTTTCAAGTTTTATTTTGTTTTGTTCTTTCAGGATTTAGAAAACTACATATTGGAACTTATCCCCACTTTGCCACAATTAGATGGGCTGGAAAAATCTTTTTACTCCTTTTATGTTTGTACAGCAGTTAGGAAGTTCTTCTTCTTTTTAGACCCTCTAAGAACAGGTAAAAGAAAATCTTATCTAACTTAGATATTATGAGAGTATCATTACTTCTAAATCTCAATAACTAGAGAAAAGTCTTTAAAATGTTATTTATTTTCCTAACATGTTATTGCCATTAATACATAAATCTTTTGACATGTAGATCTTTTGATTTACTTGTGCCAACCATAATCAGCTGTGTGACAGTGGGAATATCACCTAACCTTTTTACAATGTTTTCATCTCTAAAATGAAGTATATTCTCTCCAGATCTAAGAAGCCAGGTATTCTGATATAATTTGCTATCCCTGATAGGTGATATACTAGAGCATTATTCTTTTTGATCAAAAATATGAATTGGGAGATAGGAGGACCATTTAGCCATGATGTGTTTTTCTCATTTTCAAGTTAACTATCCTATATGAGGATCAGATTTGTAAATTTTGCCTCATTAACAGTACATTTATCAATGTACTGTTAAGCCAAGCCTACCTGCTAGGCTTAAATACATGTGTCTGGGACAGAGGCCCAAATCAAAGCCCCTGATACTCCTTCTGTCCTTGAAAATGCAGCTGTGAGTCCATCACAGAATGGGGTAGCTGTCAGTTTTTTTAAACGCCTCCATTATAGGCACACACACATCTTTTTCCTTGGAAGTTTACGCAATAATAATAGCCAACAGTTTTGACTGTTTAATCTGTACTAAGTACTGTGCTAAGCATTTTACATAATTCTTTCATTTTCTTCTCATAACTCCATTAGGAAGGTATTATTACCCACATTATATGTGTGAAGCAACTAAGACTTAGATGGATTGCATGTCTAGGAGTGGCATTTAAATGCCATCTCTCTTAACCACGCCTCTATACTGCTTTCTATTCCAGAACCTGCAAAGGAAAACTGGAAACAGTCTCCTTATTTGACTACTGACAGTATCATATCCATAACCACAAAAAAATTGACACAACTTTTTTTGGAACCTGGTCTCAATGTAATTTTGGAATTTCTCAATTGGATGTATATAGTTGGGGGTATATAGGTAGACATACCTATATGAGATTTTATTAAATATTCCCTGCAGATTTCCCTTTTCACAGAAATACATAGTAAGGACTTTGGAGCATGAGAGCTAGGAAGTTTAAAGTATCAATTGTGCGATTGCTCTTCTAAAATAATACTTTTATAAAATTGAGTTGCTCTTGTTTTTAAAATTAAGTAATTGTGTTTATGTTCTTTAAAGGGAAGATAAAAATTCAAGATATTTTAGCATGCAGCTTCCTAGATGATTTATTGGAGGTAAATATGTTTTTAAACTACTTAATTATATCACTTCACAGTTGCTATCTTCTAATTATGTCTCTATGCTCATATAGTTAAGGGATGAGGAACTGTCCAAGGAGAGTCAAGAAACAAATTGGTTTTCTGCTCCTTCTGCCCTACGGGTGTATGGTATGTTCCTGTAATAATGCTATAATTTGAATTATCCGTTCCTCAGTTAATGTTTCATTAACTGGTGTTCAAAGGACAGTTTTATACATAGCCTAATTTACCTTAAGATCAAAGTATTCTAATTTTCTTAAGAGCTTATATTCTAGATTATTAAATTTTACTTGTTTAAATACCAGCGTTTTATATTTTTGTCACTCTTATTTAAGTTAGTACATTTCTAACACTTTAACATAAAGAATGTAGTTTGATTTTTTTTTTGACTCAGGAACATTATTATGAACATCACCTGTGATCTTGCATTGTGATAAAATGCTACTCTCAGGGTCCACAGAGGGGTGTGTTTTAGGGCCTAGTTTGCTTTTTTTCTTGAATTTCATTAGTCTGTTACATTGTCCTTTTGAGTGGTCTTGTGACTCATTTTGGCAACCTTGACCTCTGCTTTCAAGTGCCAGCATTTCAGTGCTTTATGTTGGTTGACCCCTACCTCCATCTAATTTAGAATCCTAGGAAAGTTATAAAAGGTTGCAAACTGAAAACAAGTAATGATGTAAGTGAAATAGCATAAAGGCATGACCTTTATGATGAGTTTTCTTTGACTGGTTCTGGCTTAACAGTTGTTCTGATAGAGATTGCAGGGATAGCAGATGTCTACCATGACTGTAACATAATTAGTTTAAAAATCAAAATATTAACCAATAAAAATAACTTTTTGTTAGTGTTTATTCTTTTGTCTTTTAGTTAGAACTTTATTTTGGTCATAAGTGTCTTTTTATCATCTTTCTCCCCAAGGCCAATATTTGAATCTTGATAAGGATCACAATGGCATGCTCAGTAAAGAAGAACTCTCCCGCTATGGAACAGCAACCATGACCAATGTCTTCTTAGACCGTGTTTTCCAGGAGTGTCTCACTTATGATGGAGAAATGGTAGTAGTTTAAATCTCTAAGTTTTAAAAATTTAGGCTCCCACAATTTCCAAAAGCCTTTTTTTTTAAATTGAAATATAGTTAACTTACAATGTTATATTAGTTTCATGTATACAACATAGTGATTCACTGTCTTTATAGATTACATACCAAAGTTATTGTAAAATATTGACTATATTCCCTGTGCAGAGATTTCATTATTTTTTTATGGCTGAGTAGTATGCCACTGTATATGTATACCATATCATCTTTATCCATTCATCTGTCGATGGACACAGGTTGCTTCCATATCTTGGCTAATGTAAATAATGCTGCTGTGAACGTTGGGGTGCATGTATATTTTCAAATTAGTGTTTCCATTTTCTTCAGATAAATACCCAGGAATGGAATTGCTGGATCATATAGTAGTTATATTTTTAATTTTTTGAGGAACCTCCATAATGTTTTCCGTAGTGGCTGCACCAATTTGCATTCCCACCAGCAGTGCATGAGGGTTCCCTTTTCTGCATATTCTTGCCAACACTTGTTAGTTATCTTTTTAATGGTAGCCATTCTGACAGGTGTGAGGTAATATCTCATTGTGGTTTTGATTTGCATTTCCCTGGTGATTAGTGATGTTGAGCATCTTTTCATCTGCCTGTTGGCCATCTGATGTCTTCTTCAGAAGAATGGCTCCTGGGCTTCCCTGGTGGCTCAGTGGTTAAGAATCCACCTGCCAATGCAGGGGACACGGGTTCAGGCCCTGGCCCGGGAAGATCCCACATGCTGTGGAGCAACTAAGCCTGTGCACCACAACTACTGAGCCTGTGCTTTAGCGCCCTCAAGCCACAACTACTGAGCCCACGTGCCACAACTACTGAAGCCCGTGTGCCTAGAGCCCGTGCTCCGCAACAAGAGAAGCCACTGCAATGAGAAGCCCACACACTGCAACGAAGAGTAGCCCCCGCTCACTGCAACTAGAGAAAAGCAACGAAGCAGCAACAAAGACCCAAAGCAGCCAGAAACAATAAATAAATAAAATAAATTTATTAAAAAAACAAAAAGAAGAATGACTCTTTAGGTCCTCTGTCCATTTTCTTAATCACAAAAGCCTTTTTCTTGATATGATACAGCATTATTTTCATATCAGTGTATAACAGTATCTTAAGAAGTATGAACTGATCAAATTACTTGAGATTCAGCACCTTTGATCTTAAGGTAAATTTGCTTAAAAACATTACTTCCTTTATGGACTCAGGGCAAACAGAAAATTTTAATATTTTTGTTCATTTCATTGTTGGTGCACCTATTGTAGAGAAGTGTGGACTAGTAAAAAAAAAAAAATCTGAAAAACAGGTAAACCCTATTGACTATTTTCATATAGATGGTTCATTCATTAAATTACCAGGTCAGATATAGTACCACATATGCCATGATTTAATTTAAATCTAAGAATCAGGTAGTATTACTCTAAGTGGCTACCTTAGCAGCTAAAGATTTGCTAACATGCACCTGTCCTTTTATCACAACAATGCAAAATACTTGAGAAGAAAATTCTAAATAGCATTTTTAAATCACCATTCTTGCTATTAAAAATATGTGTTAAGGATCTGATAACTTTTCCAAACCAATGATGCTTAAGAAATGGTCATACTGTCAGAAGAGAATCAGGGTTTTAGGTTTTATCATTTAGCTTTAATAGCAGTTTTCTAAATAACACCATTGTTAGCCAACTGCAGAGGGAAAGGTGCAAAAACTCTGCTTCGTGACTCCCACAGCTGCCTACAGTTAACAGTGAGGAGCCTGGAGTATGCTAATAACCTGATGAATAAAGAAAATCAGAAGCTACAGTTAGGCATGGAGTTTAGACCATGATGAGGCTGCATCTCTAGCTCTTTATACTATGATTTATGCAGAAAAGAATTCTTAATCTTAGCCTAAGAAAATCCTTTCCAAGATTATAAACTTTTCCAAGTGAGAATCTCCCAAGTACTTTACTTTTTTTAAACATGCAGAAAAAGTAATCTGTGACTATCCCTTTTTCGTAGAGAAAGCTTTCTGTTCTGTTCGTGTCTTTTCAGCCTTCGTTTGTACTCTCTTGCCCCCTTTTTGGATAAGAACAGTGTCAGATCACTGTAGAATATCTGGCACTCTTTTTTTTAATAAATTTATCTTTATTTTTGGCTGTGTTGGGTCTTCGTTGCTGCGTGCGGGCTTTCTTTGGTTGCGGAGAGCGGGGGCTACTCTTCGTTGCGGTGCACGGGCTTCTCATTGTGATAGCTTCTCTTGTTGTGGAGCACGGGCTCTAGGCGTGTGAGCTTCAGCAGTTGTGGCTTGCGGGCTAGTTGCTCCGCAGCATGTGGGATCTTCCCGGACCAGGGTTCGAACCTGTGTACCCTGCATTGGCAGGCGGATTCTTAACCACTGCGCCACCAGGGAAGCCACTCTGGCACTCTTAAGATGACTTTTTGGAAATCGTCTGAATTAGAGTTTAAAACTAGTTCAGAATGACCACACCGAAATGAAAATACAAATTTAGTGGCAACATGCAAAGGTTAGTCACTGTCTGTCCCTTTCAAAAGCCTAATGAATGAAAATTATGGCTTAACACAGCAAATCTCTCATAAGAAAATGAGCTGTGCCCCCTCAAACTGTCCTGTACAGATAAACTGCTATGTAGAATTCCTAGAAACCAACATTAAGTATGTATTAAGTATGGATTTCTCGTTTCATATTTTTAAAAAAAATTGCCATCTTTGATTACAAACATCTTCAAATCATCAGTCACTTGAAAAGTTAATTACAAATAAGGCCTCTAATGAATGCCATTTTCTTTTCTATAGGACTATAAGACCTACCTGGATTTTGTTCTTGCATTAGAAAACCGAAAAGAACCTGCAGCTCTGCAATATATTTTCAAATTGCTTGACATTGAGAACAAAGGATATCTGAATGTCTTTTCCCTTAATTATTTCTTTAGGGTAAGTCTCATTTGTGTAAATGTGTCTTTGTTATACAATTTGGTTTAAATTACCTACCCAGTGACAATTTTATCTAACTTGGGATGTTTAAATTTAACAAAAGCGTTTACCTAACAGATTTCAGAAGGAAATCAAGTCAGGTTTTAGTTTTGTTTTTTTCTATTTTTAAAAACATAAATGGGCTAAATCAATACTGATTTGATTAGTCGTAGAATACTAAAAAGTGTGTAAATATACGTCAGCGGCTATTAGCCAGTGGAGATACAAACATACCTGAGAAATTGTATGCTCTTGGTGATTAAAAACTAGTATGTAAAATCCTACAGAAACTTTAATTATACAGTACAGAAAAGGTAACTCCTTTCCACAGGAGTTTTGCACATCTGGTACCTGTAGATTCTTTTAATTGCTATGCTGTAAAAAATATAAATTTAAAAATTGGCTAGAATTGTGGGCTGCATTTCAGTGTGAAACAGATTTGCTGAAATACTTATTCTGTGCCGTAGGTGGTCTCAGAGAATAGCATGATGAGCTCTGAAGTGGAATTTGATTGTATTTTACCTGATAAGCATTCAGCTGCAGCAGGTGTAAATGTAGGAATGTCTTCCCTTTTAAGATAAATCCTAACACACCATTGTAAAGCAATTATACTCCAATAAAGATGTTAAAAAAAGAAAAAAAAAGATAAATCATTCCTCAGTTTGAACGGTGACTTTTCTACTTGATGGAACGGTTTTGTACAGTAGTGTTCCATTCCATTGCCACATTTCTATAGCTAGTTTTCAGAAGACCATCTGATTTTTATATGGTTAAGATTGATAGTAAGAAGAAATTTTTTTTAAACAATAAAAATGACATTTTCACATCTATGTCATAAGAAGTTTTCCCCCAGAGGCTTTTTCTTTTCCACTTAAAAATTTTTTGATACTTTTAAAATAACTTTATCTGATTTCTGAGTTTCGGAGTATATATTTCATAATTTCATGTTAAATTCCCTGAAAAGCTTTCTATTATGATTTTCTAGTAATGACTGCAGATTATTATAAGGATAAATTACAATCCCAGTATTAGGATGCATTTTATAAAAATTGAATGCTACGTGGGCTTATATCAGTGGCTCATCTGAGAATATAATATCACCCGTCATAGGGATGTCCCCCACTTTAGGCAGACCTATTAAATGAAAATTCAGTTTTAGGAAAACAAAGTAAATATATCTTTTGGAAGCTAAATACTCAATCCCTTTTCATAAAGATTTTTCATAGTATACTCTTTGAATATTAAATTTTATTTATTAAATACATTGAAAATATTTCATACCTTTATTTTATCAAAGTTTATTTAGGCTTGGTTGTATGGGCTAAGGTAAAAAGTTACTGGTGCTGAGCCCTGCAGTCCTGGACTGTTCTTAGAGCCTTTGTACATCAGTATCCCAGTGATAAAAGCTGGGCCCAGATGGTGCACTCTAGATCATTCCATCCAGGTCTCTTGCTCTAGTAGCTTCGAGTGTACTCAGATTCTCATCTGCTGCAAAGAGATGCCCTGTGCACATTCTGATATCAGTGGCACTACAGAGTAGGCACTTGGAACATATTATTTTCCAAGAATTTTAAGCTTCACATTTTCCAGTGAATGACTCCCACCTAAAACATTTGTTAGTTCAACTGGATCACAGTAGTTTCTCAGTCAGCATTTTTTTGTTAAAGTTCATAAAAGAGACGAGTTTGAGGGAGGTTTACCTCCATTTTTTCTGTCAAGTAGAAGAGAAAGTGTAGGGTGGGAGGGGAGGTGGTGGATTGGGTGCCTTAAAGAATGGTGAAGGTATGAACAGCGTTCCTGGAAAATGGGAGAAGCAGGTTATAACAGAATTGCTAGGCCTGTTAAAGGCCCATCTGGGGTTGGAGACCTTTCCTATGCAATAGTAATCTGTACTCTTGTATACTTTCTTTATGAAGTTCTCCATAGCTAAGGTGTAGGTCTAGAAAGGTTGATGGTTACACTAATCCACTGTTTAGGTTTTGCTCAGCAGATGTGAAGCAAGGTCAAGGAATTTGAGAATATTGGCAAGAGCAGTTAAAACGATGAGGCCTATGGTCTGAAAGGATAGGAAATGGAACTGGAAAGGGACCATGGGACAGGACAGGGAATGTTGCGTATTTTGTTTTTTATTTAAAGATTTATTTCTACTAAATACAGGCCATACAAGAACTAATGAAAATCCATGGACAGGATCCTGTTTCATTTCAAGACGTCAAGGTTACTTTTTTTCTTTCATTTACATAACACCACATAATCATTTGCATTAAATGAAGTTTTTACCTGAAAGCAACTTATGAAATACTGAACCAAATCAAGTATTTGCTGTTATTTGCTCTGAATTAATACTTAAATCATTAGAAACTGAGAACATACTTGGACTAATAATTTGTGCAGTATAAGATTTTAGCATTGTCAGTCTCACGTTCTCATTGGAAGCATTCATTCATTTTGATTGAAAACTAAGAGAATCAGTACAGCCTGTATCCTTTGGTAGTCTATTCCACTGTAAACTGAATTTGGGGGAGCTATTTAGCTTCAGGCTCGTTTTTAGTCTGCTACTTCAAAGAGCTCGCTTGCTTTGGTATTTAAGGAAACATCAATCTTACAGTATGAAAACTACCACTATTTGAAATACATGCTGCTACTTAGCATTTTAGTAATCAGACTTTTACCAGCTGTGAACCACTTTGAGTATCCAGTATTAGTTCAGGTGAAGTAATGTAATAAAATAACCCATCCAGTTTTAACCAAGTATAATGAGATAAAGGGCTATTTTGGTTTAATGTAAGTGGGAAAAATTTGAAACTATGCAACTGGCAACTTAAGAACTAGTAATTTTAAACTGCCACCAACCTGGAAGGGGAAGTTTCACATACACACAAGATTAAAAGTTCATGCATTTCGTTTACCTGAATTGTTCTAACCTTTAAAAATGCAATTTGCCTCTTTAAATGCTATTAAATACTTTGAGTGATTTTACTACAAACAGATTAGAAAACATGTACTAATTCCCCGTAAGTAATCTTATAGTACACGTCATAATATAGAAGAGGTTCTTCCATATATTCCAGTCATTTTTAGCACAGTTTAGTGTCACTGTGGATGACTAGTTCTTTAATACCGAGCTCCCCCCACCCATTCCAGGTCCAGAGTAAAAGGTTGACATCATTATTGGAAATGAAGCTTTGTCACTGTCTTGGCTCTAAAGCATTTAAGTTTTTACTTTGAGCCAAGTTTGCACTTAAATCAAGGCCTTGCTTTATCACCAGTTAGAAGACAACAGAAAAATATAAGTAGTTAGTTAACATATATTCAAAGAACACTGCATTAGTTTTGCTCCTAATTAGCTATGCAGCTTAAACTCTGAGCTTCAGTTTCTCTGTAAGACACATACAGGCATACCTTGTTTCATTGCATTTCTTATAAATTGAAGGTTTGTGGCAACCCTAGTCAAGCAAATCTATCGGTGCCATCTTCCCAACAGCATTTGCTCACTTGGTGTCTCTGTGTCACATTTTGGTAATTCTCACAATATTCTATTATTATTATTATTATTATTACATTTGTTATATGGTGATCTGTGATCTTTGGTGTTACTACTGCAAAAAGATTACAACTCGTCGAAGGCTCAGATGGTGGTTAGCATTTTTAGCAATAAAGTATTTTTTAATTAAGGTATGTATATTTTATTAGACATAATGCTATTGCACACTTAACAGACTACAGTATAGTATAAATATAACTTTTATATGCACTGGGAAACCAAAAATTTCACATGACTAGCTTTATTGCAATATTCACTTTATGGCGGTGGTCTGGAACTGAACTCACAGTATCTCCAAGGGTATGCCTGTACCTAAGGAATCTTCCAATAAAATTTTGTGCGTATAGAGAAGAGGTGGATTGCCTGTTAAATTAAAAAGAAAAAATTGGAACAAAAAATTTTACATAAGCTCAAGTGCCAGCCCTGAATTTTAGATCACTGTACGATAGAAATTAAGTGAATCAGATATCAGATTTCATTGTATTTTTTTCCTCTCTTGCAGGATGAAATCTTTGACATGGTAAAACCAAAGGATCCTCTGAAAATCTCTCTTCAGGATTTAATCAACAGTAATCAAGGAGACACAGTCACCACCATTCTAATTGATCTGAATGGCTTCTGGACTTACGAGAATAGAGAAGCCCTTGTTGCAAATGATAATGAAAACTCTGCAGACCTTGATGATACATGATCTCTCAAAGACTAGACTGTATTCATTAAAATAAGCTTGAATGCTGCATGTAAAACCTTTGAAGCAGAATCCTTAGAAATGGTCTAAATAAAACACTTCATATGTCTATAGAACACAGCAAATGTTCTGGTTATTGGAATTTTGGTTGTAGTGGTCTGGAAGAAATGGGACCAAATTAGGAGTCAGTAAATTCTGGTTTCACTTAGCTCAAATATGGCAACTGTGATCTGGTGAAGGTAGGAGTCCACTTTGAATCTGTATAATCTTTAGAAATAAAGGAAGTTTTAATGGAATAGTTCTGACATTAGTCACTAAGAATTTGAATACTTGAAAGATAGTTTAAATTATATCATTTAACCTTGAATATTCTAAAGTATTATGTATATCAAAGATTACAGACTTCCCCATTCATCAGAGTAGGGCCATTTCATTTCTGGCAAGTATTTGGACATGATGTTTATTTTAATAGAATGTTTCAATAAAAAGTATTCAAGTTAGTATTTTACTTTAATTAAAATCATTGTTATAAAAAACATTTGTCTACCTTTATTAACCAGCACCAGGGTTACATTTTACAAAACTTAACTCCATTTTGTTAAGGATTTTTGTTAGAGAATTTGTTAACTAAGTGTAAAGATTCTCAGTTACACTGTTTAATTTTTAAGAGATGAAAGAAGAGAGTAGAATATCATGAACTATGATTCAGAAGGAATAGTAACTATTAAAAGGGTTGAAAAGGAAGAAAAAGTGAAAGAGGCTTAAAAATAAGACAAAACCATTTAATGCATTTATGGGAAATTTTATAGTTTGCATAAATAAAAAGTATAAAAATTTAAGGCACAGTGAATAACTATATAAACATTACAAACTGGCCACTGTTGGACAAGTAGAAAAAGTAAAATTCAAGAAATGTAAAACCTTCATTAATCATTATCCTCCTTCTACTACAATCAGAAAAGTTTCTGAGTCAACTCTTTTAGATCTAGTGCCTCTAGGGAGAGAAGATTCAGATCGCCTTTAGATATGCTTGCCTTTACAGGATAACCAAATAAATATTTGAGCTTGAATATCTTCTCAAATGAAGATAAAAATTATAGGGAACACATCAGATTAGCATTGTTTAAAGCTACTAGTAAACTATAATTTATGATATTACATAATCTGACAATCCTTTAAGCACTAAATTATATAGTTTATACCCATGACCAAAAAGATCACCGTCACATGCCATGCACCACCATACCATGAATCCATGTAACTGAGGATTCCTAATGAAGAATTATCTTTCCTAAATTCTTCAAATTTCAGTTGAAGAACTTAGTGGGCAGATGTTCATGTTCATTGCTAACAGACTTCCATAATAAGCCCACTGTAGCTATGTTGTTTCTTTGAAGCTATATAGATATAGTTAAGATTGAAAGCTTAATGCTATTTAGAAGGCTATTAACAACCATAATCCTAAAAACTCTTTTTAAGTTTGTGAATAGGTTTTTAAGAGCAGCATATCTGAAATACTCTACATATTTCTCCTTATCCACATTTAGTTATAAATCTAAGTCATACAGATATAAGATCCTGAACACATATAGGAGTATTTTCAAAATTAGTTTCATATTATACTTTTGTAAGGTCTGCTAATGGCACAGTGGGTACAGAGATGGCCAACTGGGTCAAGCAAACCATCCACTGTTCTTGCTTTGAAGTGGTGAATGACAGGTAACTTCATTATGCTACCATTGCACATTGTACAATATTTAACAGTGAGCCCTGGAGGGTTAAGTCTTCATCTGTCCCCCAATCTTGACCCATAGGAGGCATTCAGGGCTGAAAGAGTGACATAAACAGGATGCCATGTGGGTAATCACTAGGTATTACCATTTGAATACAAATACATTAAGATTAAGCTTCATTAAAAAATGGAAACCCATCTTAAGATTTGGTGGTGTTATAAACTCAATCACCTTCCCATGAAATAAAGTTAATTCTCAAGGAAAGAAAATTCAAAATGCTTTCATCTTGCTCCTTTTATTACACATTCAGTGAACCATCCTTAGTATGAAATGAATGGTTAGATATATAAATGTAAGAAAGACATAACATGAGAAGATCTAGGAGAAAAATCCTCATTTTAATCTGAGACTACGAATATCAGCTCTAGTTAGCCTTATTCAGCAACTTACCTATTTTTTTTTCTTACACAAATAACAGACAAGCTTGATAATTTAACTCTTCTTAATTGGTGGTTAGGGTCCTAGAATGTCCTTAACTTTTTTTAAAAGATCATTTTAAAACCAAAGCACTAATCTGACAGTAAAAGCATAGTACAATTATCCAAATTTCAGATCTGGCTTTTGCTAGATAGAGCCTAAGAATAAAGAAACATTCTTCCCTTTCCCGATAACTTAATAATTTAAAATATAAATAACTATTAAGTCCCATTGAATAGAGAGTGTGAAAGTTCCTGGTATAAAAACTACCTTAGAAGTTTGATGGTCATTTCATTCTAAGGAGGGACAGAGACTGGATTTTGTTTGCTCTCCATAATTACTTCACAATCTCCCTCCATTTCAAAGTTGAGATTCACAAATGAACTGGATACAAGTGTTTCTGGTTGATCTGACTGAACAATGGAATCAGCCTGCAGCTTATTTTGCTGGTATTGTCTTTCTGCTTCTTCAGACATCCTGTTTTCTTCTTCTTCCTCCTCCTCCTAAAAGGAGGAAATATCAAGAATAGTTGAAATATAAATGTCCAAAAGGAATAGTATTTTTCTCCCACTTTCAGCTGCTTATGCCTTTTTTTTAACCAAAACATTAGTGTCATGTCCAATTCAGTTTCATCCAATTAAGACAAGACATACTTCCCCTTCCCCTGTTTCCAAATTGAAATGAAAACTATTGTATGAAGTACATGTAGTGAAGCTATTTTTAAAACACAGTATAGCACTGCTTAGCTTAGATGAGACCTGAATTAACTTTGACACGGGCTGGATCTCTTCAGGTTAATTCTAATCTAAATAAAACATTAGCTAATACTGTATCACTACAGTTACAGGGTGTCAGCCTATTCAGTGGAATAGGGTGGTCTATTCACTTAAGTGATACAGCATGGTTAGTGTTCCCATAGCACCTAGTAGACAGATAAGGCAGTCCCTGCCCTCAAGAAGTTTACAATCTAGGAAGGAAGTTAAGACATTTAGGGCTTCCCTGGTGGCGCAGCGGTTGCGAGTCCGCCTGCCAATGCAGGGGACACGGGTTCGTGCCCCGGTCCGGGAAGATCCCACATGCCGCAGAGCGGCTGGGCCCGTGAGCCATGGCCGCTGAGCCTGCGCATCCGGAGCCTGTGCTCCACAAAAAAAAAAAAAAAAAAAAAAAGACATTTAAGAAGAGTATTAGAACAGAAAGGAATAACCACCATAGAGATTTAGAGAGTAAATAACTTCTAGTTCCAGAACTGCTCAATTGATGGAGGAAATGGTGGCATTTGCATTGGTCCCTGTAGTATGGTGAGCCAGTACAGAGTGAGTAACCTGTCAGGATGATTAATCTAGAGATTTTCTGAGAGTGAAGGAGAAAGGCCATTTAGGAGACTATCACAATAGTCCAGATGAGGTAATGAGGCTCTCAACAAGGCTAGTAGAGTTAAAAACACTCATTTGTTCATAAAACAGTTTTGAAACCACATAACAAATACAGTCAACTGAGCTGAGCTTTCTAGATTCATGCCTCTACATTGCAGCTTTACCCGAATTGCCCTCCTTGTTTGCTTGAAGGAGTAATGAAAGATTCTAATATTTATTTCAAGCTCACCACTATACACTCTGGGCTGCCCTAAGCATTTTACATATTAACTCATTTCATCCTTAGAGCAACCCTGAGCATGGATGCTGCAATTTTCCTCATTACAAAGACGAGGAAACTGCAGCTTATATAGGTTAAGTATCTTGCCCAAGGTTACAAAGTTAGAAGTGGCAGAGCACTTGGTTCTCGAGCCCACACTCTTAAATGCTAAAGCTTTCTCACTCTTTAAAGGTAAACTTATTTCACCCTCACCCTAAGACCTCACGACATCTGCACACAAAATTGCCTCATATCTTTGTGCCTTAACAACTGGCACTTACACATTTCTAGTATTGGTCATTTCCCGTGCATCAAACCCATTCCACTTCTCCCACATCCAGTCTATGTGTCCTAAGTACAGAGACCAGGTCTTGTTTCCTCATCTTAAATTTGGAATAATAATTCAAAGAGAGGTGTGTGGAGATTAAATTAAATAACATATCTAAGGCACCTCTCACAGCAACTAGCACATGAAATCTAGCTTAATTGTGCACATAGATTGTAGGGGAATTTCAGTATTAAAAAATTCTAAAATGTATGCTAATTTGATAAAGAAATTAATGACTCGAGAATGAAATGCCTAGTATAAGGGAGCTATCTTTGGGGCAGCTAGAGGATACATGTCTTCATTATGCAACCCATGAAGTCCACAGCAAACCAAACTGAATCAAGAAAATGTAAAAAGGAGACACACCTCCTTCTTCATCCGGTAATACTCATCAATGGCATACTGGTATTTTGGGGTGCTGATGCCCAAAACAGATGCAATCTTCTCTCCGAGAAAGTCACACACTAAAAATACAAAAGTTAAATGACTTACATAATTCCATAAACATTTCTTGAGCCCTTTCTATGCGCAAAGCACTGTACGAATACAAAAGTTACACTCCCTGCCCTCGGGGAGATAATGAACATTCAGTACATCTCCTTTGTGTATCTTCCTTGATTTCCCCAAGAAGCACAAGTGGCTCCTTCTGGGCTCCCAATAACACTGCTCATACCTCTTACTATTAACACTTATCACCAGGTGTTATAATTATCTGTTAGATGTCTATTTCTTCAAGAAAAATGTATACTCTCAGAGGGCTGGGATATCACTGGGCTGGGAGAAAGGAATGGATTATACTATAGCACTCACTGAGCGCCTGCCACATGCCAGGCACTATGAAAGGTTAGACTCAAAGAAGTTGAAGAACTGGCCCAAGCGGACAAAGCAGATCCAAAGTTCAATCCAGGTCTGAATGTAAAGCTCATGTTCTTTTCATTATACTAGACTGTCTAGCATATATTGAGAGCTCAATAAATGTTTGTTGAATGAATTATTATTCACATTTAGATCTAATGAAAGGCATAAAGTGGTAGAAGCTACGGGGGAGTTAAAATGGGAAGCAAAGGAAAGCTTTATGATTTAAAACGCATATTTAAAGTTAGCATGATTAAGTCATAAGTTGATAATTCATTTCCTTCAAATATGACTTAGTTATATCTCAACTTAAGAAATGAAATATTAATCAAATAAAACATAAATGAATTATAACTACAGGCTTTAGAATAAGCAGTTAGAATGAGAACAATATCAGGGAATCAAATGGCAAAATAGCAAAATAACTGCTAACAGGAAAGTTTCAAGAACATGAAAATTGTATCTAAATTAATATAGCTATTTTTTAGTCCTTTTTTTAAAGCATATCCAGAAGCTAAAAAATGTTTTAAGATGAAGTACAAGTTAGATTAATATCTTCCAATGTGAGCTAGCTAGCTGCTAAGAAGGGAGTGACTAACCCCCAATTGTTTCTCCTTCAATTTTGAAACACCCTATTTAGCAAAGCTCCTGTTCTGGGAGCATATTATAGTGGTCATACAATATTCAAACAAAAAAGTAATACCTGAGAGGGTTGATGTGGCAGCACGAAGCATGTAAAACCATAAGTAGGGGCCCCAGGTAAGTTTTGTCTGCAACAAGAGGTTAGGTTAGCAACATTCACACCTAAATTCATTCTATACATTTAGGCCAGAAAGTAGTGAAACACTTGGTGGGCACTTAGAATATTCTATAGATGATACTATAAACAGAGTACAATCCAATAAAAAAAATTAAAAGCTTTGTAGAGAGAATGTCACAAAGACATTTTACATTCACCACCTGGTATTTTGGGGGTGCTGATGCCCAAAACAGATGCAATCTTCTCTCGGAGAAAGTCACACACTAAAAATACAAAAGTTAAATGACTTACATAATTCCATAAACATTTCTTGAGCCCTTTCTATGCGCTCAAGAAATCACCACCTTAAGTCCACAGAATAACCAAAAAAAGCAGCAGCCACTGAAATGGAGTTGGTTAAGTCATAACCTTGATTATTTATGAGTTATCCAGAGCCTTCCTTTCTCCTGTCTTGTTGCTTTTTTGTCTTCATTGTTCAAAAGCACACCAGAGAGTGTGTACATTCAATGGAAAGGGATCTAAGAAATCATACAGTACAACACACGTATGATTTAGTGGGGAAATTAAGGTTCAGAGAAATTAAGCAGATTAAGGGCACATTAAATGAACTTTTAATGGTGGGAAAATAAGTAACCAGTAAGTGGCAAGATGAGGTTTTTTTGTTGCTGTTCCTTCAAGGATTAAAAAGGGACTAGAGGGCTTCCCTGGTGGCGCAGTGGTTCAGAGTCTGCCTGCTGATGCAGGGGACATGGGTTCGTGCCCGGGTCCGGGAAGATCCCACATGCCGCGGAGCGGCTAGGCCCGTGAGCCGTGGCCGCTGAGCCTGCGCGCGGCCAGAGCCTGTGCTCTGCAATGGGAGAGGCCACAACAGTGAGAGGCCCGTGTACCGCAT